AAAAAAAAAAAAAAAAAAAAAAAAAAAAAACATTTGCATAAAATAAATAAATATTAAATAAAAAAGGATGTTAAAGTAATTCTCAGGATCACTCACAACAAATACAATATGTCATACATCTATCTCAAGTACAACACAAAGTTGATTTTATATTTCTGTGTGGACAGAATAAAACCTTGCCATTTAAATTGATGTCTTCTATCTGCTTAGAACAAATAAATTCCTGATTCATTCATTTCTCCTCACTTTTTAAAATATATTCTCCCTAATTTAAAATTGTTTCTGAAGATTTAATATTACAGAAATTTTCTTCTCCATATTATGAACTATCTTGTGTATGTGTATATATATATAACGATTCAAGCCCAATTTTATATAGATATTTAAACTATATATTTGATTATTGTCAAATGTTAGTAGTAATGCAGTCAAAAAAAACTTGTCCAAAACATTGTTACAAAAAAGACCTACAAATGACTCACATTACATTACATATTCTACCTTGTTCCCATCCTCAACCCTCACCCCTCTGCTCAATGACTAACCTGAGATCAGCTGTTGACCAGGGTCAGTCCACTAAAATATAAACACATTGACTAAGAAGTTTAAATAAAAATAAAGTAGCCTCTCATTGGCTTCTTTTGGAAAACAAGCATGTTTTATGTGGGACTAATGTGAAAGAAGAAAACAGTATTAGGATAAACAATTTCTATTTATTGACAATTTTATTTATAAATTTTAAGATTCAAAGAAAGATAAAATTATGTAGCTAAAACTATGGATGAATTGCTTCTCTAAATACTTGAATTCCTAGAGTCATGTGAAAATCAATAGTCATTAATTATATAGATGACCATATTGGTTGTTCATTTATTCAACAAACATTCTTTAAGCAACTGTGTGGGTCAGGCTGTCTGGTAAGTGCTGGGATAGCAAGATGAATAAACCATATTTCCGGCCTGAGAGTTGTTTAACCTTCTGGAGGAGACAAGCATAAAAACAGGTAATTTAAGTCAAGGAACACTGATAAAATATGGAAATTGTGGTATAAATTGGTGTAAACGTTGTGAATTGTAGAAGAACATAGAAGGAAAAGGAGGCAAAATGGAGAAGGTGAATTAAGTGTAGGGCATGTGTAGTTTGATGCATCCAGGTAAAATATTGTGCTGGTCCTATGCTTATGTGCTCTCAGATGCATTCTTTTTTTTACTATTATTATTATAAAGAGGTGGGGTACAATCCAGGGTTAGGTATACAAATGTTGATTATGCAGGTACCCTTGTTGATGAGGTATGCCCCTCCCTCCCCTAGTAGTTTCCTTCAACTGCCAATCCTACCCCCCCATCCCCTGACAGCTTCCCACTACTGCCAGTCGTTTTCTAATAGTATTATAATTGTTCAAGCTCTGCTTATGAGTGAGAACATGTGGTACTCTGTTCTTTGCTTCTGTGATAGATCACTGAGTATGATTGACTCTAAATCCATCCTAGTTGCTGCAAAGTTCATATGTTTGTCCTTCTTTATGGCTGTATAATATTCCATTGTGTATATGTACCACATTTTTTTATCTAGTCCAACTTTGATGGGCAACATTGTTGGTCCCATGTTTTTGCTAAGTGAATAGAGCTGCAACAAACACATGTGTGCATTCTTTGGTCTTTCCCATGATGTCTTCTCAGAGCAGCTGCCTCCTAGGCCATTTCCCAGGCTTCCCTGACAACTGGCCTCTAATTGGATTTTGACTGGCAGAGATTGGAAAATGGGAGGAAGGGACAAACTAGGGTATTTTCCTATCCTTGTCTGTTTCAGAATATCATTTACTGCTTTTTTGGGGGGGTCATTGCTGCATTTCTTGCTCCTAACAAGACAGGCTTGTCCTGGTTTTGGCTTTCACTGTCCTTCAACCTACAGACACAGTAGCTATTTTGGGAGGCTTAACTACCCCCCACTCAGTTTCTCAACTTCTTTCATGAGTATATAATCGATTGTCAGCCATTTATTTTTTGAATGTTAAATATTCAGAGTGATTTCTATTTTTCTGGTTGGACACAAATACCTGGCAGACATTAACTATCTGAGTCTGAATTTCAATGCAGAGAGAGGGAAGGTAAAAGGATTAGTGCATTGAGGGTGGGGAATACAGTAACAAGTAGAGGAAGCACAGCTTTTGAAGAAGTTCAAAGAAAAATTATGAATTTTGAGCAGAACCACAGGTTTTTAAGCCCATGAGGAAACCTCGGTAACAGTTGGACCCAGCATTTGTTTAGGATTTGGAAGACAGAGAAGCAGAGCTACAGAAGTTTCGGAAGCAGAGTAACCAGATTTTATCACAATATTAAGAAAAATAAAGTCATCATTGTACAGCTTATAGATACTTTTATTATGTGTTTGCTGAAGTTAAGAATTTTTTTGCATTTTGTAAAGTTATTATTTGTTTAATAAAACCAAATTTAATTTCAAATTTCATTTTTACTTTAGAAGTTATGAGTAATTAATTTTTCTATAAACTGATTTTTACATCATTAGTTTCTTCTCAGTTGTGTGTATTTAAGAATTTCTCACACCTTATCAACAAGGGTAAATGCATGATGAACATTTGTATACCTAACCTTGAATTGTACCTCATATCTTTAAAATTAAAAAAAAAAAAAGAATTTACATGAACTTAAATGAGGTTTTATGATGAATATTCTATTTGCACTGCATTTTTAAACAAAACATATTTTTTAAATTTGAAGAATATTTTTTTTCTCCTGAGAAAATCTTCTGAATTTGCTTCATTTTTCCATTCTTCTTTGTCTTTTAAATTTTCAGTATCCAAGGTACTTAAATGTTAAATATAAATGAGGAAATCGGGAAATTGTTGAATAAATACAAATTCATTCTCATTTAATAGATAAGAATGACTTAGAACCTAGTACTTTTGCCGTTAGTACTTAGACATTTAAGCCCATGTTACAAGGAAAACAAATCAATCCCTTATAGTGTAGAACATGGACTCAACCAAAATCCAACAGTGTAAATTCTATCCTACCTTCAGTGTCTGCAACACCTACGCCTATCCCTGGCTGTTTCACAGATTCTTGTCCATTCTGTCCCATCTTCCCTCTGTTTAAAAGAAAAAAAAAGATTATATATGCAGTTATGATCTCCTAAATGCAAGTGAGGAGGCTAAGTTTGCAAAAATAAAATGGCATTATATATTCAAACCTGCAGTAAATTATTTGGATAAGAAATATACACACAGTTAATTGCACTACATCATGCTAATTTTAAAATGTGAACTTAGTATTCTTAGTCCAAATAAAATATCTAAAAATTCAGTAATTCTTATTTGTGTACTCATTTATGAAAAAAATCAGGCAATCATGACATTTCCAATTTTTTTTTAGAATTCTTTTTTTTTCATTTTTAGCTCAAAAAGTGACAAGGAGTTTTATAGCTTTATACTTTGTGATGATGAGTTGTTTTAGTCTCTTGGGTGAGAAGGACAAGAGAAGGACGATATTAAATAACATATAAAAATAATATTGCAATAATGTATTTTAAATTTCACTTAGTGATTCTTTTCAGATCCTTCCTATGTTTTCACCTGTGTTGAGCAAACTGGTTTTTGAAGCCAGGCTGCTTGGTCTCTGCTTCTGGCTTTTCTGTTTCTGGCTATGTGTAATCTAAGGCAAAATATCTGATCAAGACTGTCTCTCCTTATGTAGGACAATGATAGTATTATTAGTTACCATTTGATTATGAAAAAAAAACCAAATGGAAAGTATATGTAAAGGGTGAAATAGTGCCTGAGAAGTTCTAAGCATTTAATAAATATAACATAATAATAGATAGGTATGCTCAGAATAGTTTTAGAATTCAGCCAAAATCTGCTAATCATTTTTAGTTTCTACCTCAAACATTGTGGAAAGACAACTAGATGAGTAATTCACTATACTTTGAGCATTGTGAGTTTAGAACGTTTGTAATATATTGGCCAAAAGACCATAGGTCATTTTTTATTTATTTAGGCAGAGGAAAAGTTACATGGCATATGACATATGAAAGACTTTGGAATTGGCTTTATATATATTTAGATAAGATGTTCTAAAAAGATAGAATAAAAACTTTTAAATGTTAACGATTCATGAATAAAAGAATGGCTTGATACTGTACTTTGTAGGTAACAATTCTATAGTAGAATTTATTAACAATTAATTCTACTTTCACAGAAAGTATTTTGTAAGATAAAATAAAATCTTTTACATGTTAAAAATGATGCATGCCGGGCTCGGTGGCTCAGCCTGTAATCCCGCGCCTTTGGGAGGCTGAGGTGAGTGGATTGCCTGAGCCCGTGGGTTCGAGGCCCACCTGGGCAGTGAGACCTCATCTCTACAATAAATCAAAAAATCAGCCGGGCGTGGTAGCGCATGCCTATAATTGTGGCTACTTGGAAGGCTGAGGCAGAAGGATCGCCGGAGCCCAGCAGGTCGAGGCTGCGGTGGCCGGGAGTGGCCACTGCACTCCAGTCTGGGCGACGGAGTGAGACTCCAACTCAAAAAAAAAAAAAAAAGAAAGAAAAATGATGCATGAACAAAATAATGTCTTGACGCTGTACTTTGTAGACAACAATTCTATAGTAGGATTTACTAACAATTAATTCTGACTTTCACAAAAAGCATTTGGTTTGCTGTACCTGCTAGAAATGTAACCACTTTTATTTCTTAAGAATCCAATTTTATCTTATTTGGAAACTGCTCTAAAGATCCTTTATCATTCTGCTTTAGAGAAGATGCCAAAATGTTTCTGCACATAATGAAAGAGGAAAAAGAAATTATCTTATCTTGAAAGTCATTACATTGTTCCATTATAACAACTCTGGGTTAAAAGTTTAGGTAAAAGCCGAGCCCAGCCAACCTGTAATTCCAGCAATTTGGGAGGCCGAGGTGAGAGGATTGCCTGAGCTCAGGGGTTCGAAACCACCCTGAGCAACTCGGCAAGACCTTGTCTCTATAATAAATCAAAAAATTAACCAGGCGGGGTAGCATGCGCCTATAGTTAAAGCTACTTGAATAGCTGAAGCAGAAGGATTGCCTGAGCCTAGCAGGCTGAGGCTGTGATGGCCGTGAGTGTGCCACTGCACTCCAGCCTAGGCGACAGAGTGAGACTCCAACTCAAAAAAAATAAAAAAAAAAGCTTAGGTAAAAATTTTTATTAGTGATTATGTGAGGAACAAGTGCATGCTAATTTTACAATTTACAATATTTTTGTTATGCCATATGTATGTTAGACTATATGTTAGATCATGTCTGAATATATATTTAAGCAATTCACAAAATTTCAAGTCATTAAATTTTAAAATGATCTCTGCTCTATCTGTGAGTACTAGAGAAAAAGAAAGGCTTAATAACAGCTGCAGTATCACTTTTAGTAGTGCGCTATGTTGGTGGAGTAAGCCAAGACATACCTTGTTACTAAGCCAAAGTCAACTGAAACTGAGAATCTTTTTAGAATTGTTGCTCTAGCAGATCAGAGTACTGAAAAATTATCATCCTTATATTATGCTAGGCTTTTAAAAATAGTTATAATTTTTAGTAATTATAATGGAAATAAATTTTGATAATTTTTAGATTTGTTCTTGAGTCCTAGATTTCATTTTTAAAATAAAAAATTATAGGTTAATTTTATTTATATACTTAGTTTTTGAGTCAGGACTTCACTCTTTTCTCCGACCTGGAGTATAGTGGCAAGATCATGGTTCACTGCAGCCTCAACCTCCTGGGCTGTGGTAATCCTTCCAACTCAGCCTCTCGAGTATCTGGGACTATAGACGCTTGCAACCATACCTGGATTTTTAAAAAAACTTTTGTAGAGCCAAGGTCTCGTTATGTTGCCTGGGCTGATCTCAAATTCCTGGGCTCAAGCAATCCTCCCGTCTCGACTTCTCAAAGGGCTGGGTTTACATGCGCTAGCCACTGTGCCTGGCCTAGATTTCATATTTTAATGGTGACACCTAGCTATAGATTTTGTTTCTGATAAAAACTGACTTTAAAATTAGATACTTAGCCAAAACTTGAAGTATACTTTTTGAAACTATAAATGAACTACAAAGGAAATGTAAATGTGGGTCATGTGAAGAATGTTTTTTCTGAATTTCCAATGAATACCCTTCAGTTCAGAATATTCTGACTACACATTTTATCATTTATATTTCTAATTAATCACCACATATTTATTGAACACTTGTAGTAGCCCAAGGAATAATTGTATCAGGTACAATGTGGTACATAAAAGAACTATCAAATATTGTTTCTCATGTATATTCTGTAATGATAAAGAAAACTGACTTTTTTTATGTTCATATGACAAAGCAAGAGTCAAGCATCTCCTATACAGTTGTGAGAAGCTTTGATTTACAGGAGACACAGAAAAATGGGAAAAAACAATGTGAATGTGGTATAGATATGAAAAGTATATACTCTACTTTCACCTCAAATATTCAGATATTGATGAAATAACATAGTTCACTCTCTGGAAGTCATAACTTTTTCATCAGTGTTAAATTTTCTATTTCAAAAAGTACAATTAAATTGGAAAAATATCAAATTATGTGTCATGCAGTAATGTATAAATATACGTAATAGTCACAGCTTAGAGAGAAATGAAGTGAATTTGCCAAAATTATTTTCAGTCAAATTGGATTATCAGAGGCCAAAGACTAATGAGATCAGATTTCTTTTAGAAAAAATTTCCAATAAAATAGAGCTGATTAAGTTGAAATAACTTTATTGAACCCATAGCCTAAGTCTCATTTTTTAAAAAAAAACCTCAAATGGTCAAGTGATAAAGTAATAATTTGCTTAATTTAAAGTGGACAATTGTAATTTGAAACCACAAAATAAACACGTTTTTCTCTGTAAAAATTCATTCTTTCTATTGCTTTGTTTTTGTAAACTGAACCATTATCTAAATATTAGAACTATTGTGTGAATGAAAGGGAAAAAATTTATAAAAACCTTGATATTAAAACAAAGAGAAATAGAAAACTCACTCCCTGAGAAGGCTTCACACTGCATAAAAGAATTGAAAAAGAGCCTTTAGCAATCCAGATCAGAGTTGGCAATCTCTGTCAAGTGCCAGATAGTCAACATTTTAGATGGTCTCTATTACAAATGCTTGATTCTGTTCTTGTAGCACAAAAGCAGCATCAGCCAACACAGAGCTAATGGATGTGGTTGTGTTCAACTTAGTTTATGTTCGCTGAAATTTCAATTTTGTATAATTCATGTGACACAGAATATTCTCTTTTTTTTCAAATATTTTAAAATGTAAAATTTTTAGCTCACAAACCTTACAAAACCAGACAGTAGGGTGGATTTGCCCTAGCCTAAATCCTGGGACTTGCATGGTCCAGTGGTATTTTCAAATCCCAGAAGACCAGTTAATGGGAAGGAGAAAGAAATATAGGGAAATTACAATTTTGATATTGGAACAGAAATAACTTGTGTAATTATCTTTGATGCTGCTAAATTTTGCCACTAATATGACCAAAGCGATTCTAACACATTTTTAGCACAATCTGCTTTAGTTTTGCATTTGATTTCCCAAATGATTTTTTTGAGACTTAACATGTTATGAATAAGCTTTATTCTATGAGTTTCTACTCAGGGACCTATGTGCTACTTGAAATTTGTTCTAGAAAGTGTGGAAACACTTCAGAGTTTCAATTTTAATTGTAAAGAGACTTATAGTTGAAAAGTCTATATGATTAACCAGTGTGTCATCCATTTCAAATATGACATATGGGTTTTTGAATATGTTTAAATCTCTCTTGATTCAAAGCAAATTAATCTATGTTTGTCTCAAATACCAGTAATGTTTGCATCTGGTCATTACATGATTAAAACATCAATGTATTGCTGCTGAACTTTATTCTGGCATGGCTAACTTGTTATTTTAGCAGTTTTTATATTAAATACAGATGCACTGATTAAGTAGTCCTGGTAGTGACTAGCATTTATCAGAATTAGCTGAATTAATTCAATCTTTCCTGAACAATCTATCTTTATGTAGGCATAAGCTGTTCAAGTGTTTCAGGGACAATGACTCAGAATTGGATAATTATCTAGTAATTTCCTTTTAAATGTTAAGAATGGCTTACTCATGATGCTGTTAACTTTGCAGAGAGAGAGAGAGAGAAAGAGAGAGAGAGACAGAGAGAGAGAGAGAGAGAGAGCCACTTACATCCTTGGCATAGGAAATAGATTAGTCTCCCCTGCAGTGCTGCTGCTTCCTTCACTGTCCACGCTATACCCACTGCCAAAGCTGCTGCCCGAGGAGCCGGTGGACACAGAGCTTTCTGCAGGCCGGTGATTGGTGGGCTTTGCTGCATGGTGTGGGAAGAGTCAACACTATAGTCAATAAATGAAGCTTACATGGATCTCCAAATACATAATTTTACATTTTATTAATTTACATGTATAAAGAAATAGCGATTGCAAGAACTCTACCTTTCTCAGTCTTCCTTCTATTTTCATTTCCTTAACCAATAATGTGCAGTGGCAACACTAAATTACTTTACAGTTTTCATTGGACATAAAGGAAAAAAAACAGTCACTTCCAGGGAAAAATCATTTAATTTTTAGATGGAGTTAAATAGTATGTAACTATTCTATTAGTATTATTTGTGATTTATTTGTACGGTATTGAAATAGTGATATATCATACAAGAATTTTGGCAATTTCATGGAGAAAAGAGTTTAGAAAGACTTGGGTAACTGAAAATAGTAGAAAACACCTTAATTATTTTTATATTAATAACCAACAATCTGTTTTTCTCCTAAGAAGCAAGGATGTGAAATAAAATAGATAATTTTACGAAGTGACTGAAAAGTCAGTTCTTTCTTGTATGTAGCTAGTCTACTATCTCCAGCAGTTTTCTAAAATTGAAAGATATTTTATTTCTCTTAAGCATTTCCTAGTTTATGATTGAGACTTATTTCAAAAATTTGATAATTTTGATTTTTGAATGAGTCCATATTTCCATAGAAATGTTATACATTATATTATAAATTATGCAGTAGGAGTACAGTACTAATACCACAAGCAGAGTTCTAAATTTATAGGAGATTTGGGAAGAAATTTTGATGCAAAAAGAAGGAAAAGAAAACAAGTATTTCCTCTTATTTTATCAGGGAGAAGTTCTCTGGTAAGTTTTTGAAATTGTTAATATTTATCTCTTGCAAGAGGTATACACTTTGATCAGAATGTTCTAACTTTGGATCCCAACCCACTCTGTAGTAACTGTAACTTTCTTTTCTCATTTGAAAACAGTGAGGTCAGTAATGCCTACCTTTTATGATTGTGATTATGAGGAGTGAGATACAGAAGGAGCCCAGTGACTCACACTTCTTCTCTTGTGCTATTACTTGTCCTATTGTTCCCTTCTTTAGGGCTTTACTGTCAATGGCTGTTGCCTTGTTTCTTTGAGCTCATATAGCCTTTGGCAATGAATTTACTTTGATTCTCTTCTAAATCTAGACATGTTCGAAGCTGTAAATATACTTCTCTTCTCCCTAAATGCATGCACATTCCATCAATAGTTTATGAGAGAGTTGGGTAGATTCATACTACTGAGTAAAGAGTTTATAATCATTTCATGAACCTAAGATATCTACATGCTTCTTAAGGATTTGTATAAAAACATAATGATTCTCAATCTGGTGGAATTTTAACCAATATAACCAAGTGAAATTAAAAATATAAACATTGTATGGGTAACAATTTGAGGACAGGAAATCCACCATGAGAGTAGCTAATATCAAAGTCTTGCAAGGAATTTAACTTTTCTCCCACTTCTTTCCTTCTTCCATTTCAGCAAGGGCAGATTTTCTAAAGTTACAAGAAATTCTAATATCTGTTCCAGTGACAGCAGGATCCCTTCTTCAGGTAGGAAAATAAGGAAGATGCTTTAAATAATAAGTCAATTACATATCAGATGTCTATAGATGAGGAACAGAAAGGTCAGATGCTGTTAAAAAATAGCCAGTCACTGATAAATTACTAGTAACTGATATAACTGACTTGTAGAACAGAAGTTATGTTTCTTTAATACTTTCTTCAACATATGTAGAGGAAACCCAGATGGTGTTTTTAGTGTTAAAAAAGACTGTCATTTTTTTAGATTGAAAAATATAGTTTATTTAGAAAGTTACAGAAAGAGAGAGATTGAAGATTCATCTCCCCAAGGTAGGGGAAGGGGCCAAGTTTAGAAAACATGGCTGCCATAGCTCAAAGAGCCACATGGAAATACCAGAGTTTAACAAAGTAATGGCTAAAAAATACTCTCTTAAATAATAATTTTTAAAAAGTTAAAGTAATATGACTAGGACACAAAATTATGAGCATATATAAAGTAGATTAAACTGTGTAATTGACTACAAAATGAATCAGATTAGTCAGCTGATCATAAGCAAAGTTGTGATACTTTTTAAATGGCATTATATAATCCAACCAGCAAGACTGTTAATATTTTTTTAGTATGACATTGAATGCGAGACATTAATTTCATCAATTGGAAAATCTCAGTATATTGTTTTAAAAGATAAACCTTAATTAATAGACATCCATATTTAAGCAATTTACATATTCTATATCAAATGAATTTTCATCCAAGTCAACCTCACAATGAATCAGAATAGCTACATTATAACAATGATTTGTTATTTACATTTCAAAATAATCTTTTAGTAACTTTGGTTTTATCTGAGGCAATTATTAGTTCTATTCCTCTTCTGGGAAATTTGAGAAATATTTACAGAATGTAAAATAGAATAATAGAATAATAAGAAACAAGGTTAGAAATAAATGTAAAAAAAGGTAGCTTTTTTCATTTTGTCTATTTCTTTGAATAAAAATCTTATTTGGAAAGCCTGTGCAAGTGTTGTCAATACTTTAAATGCAAACAAATACTACCTTATAAGAAATATTTAAAAAAGAAAATCAAATCCTGGGAACATATACATACAATAGAGCAAGTGTATCAGACATCTCTGCAAAAGAGATTACATCTAAGGTTGAGTCTGCAGAAATTTTGAGCATTGGGAATTTAGGTTAATAATTCAAATGCTTCTGGATGCTTGGCATTATTGTAACAAAACATCTGGCAACTCATTACATTTTGTATTATTAATCTGGTATCTAAATGTAGTGTAGAGATAGATAACCTGACATTTAGTTAGTTTCTGCAAATGAATTAAATTAAAATGCAGAACAGAGCTTCCTTTTTTATTGGGTTATATTCACATATCATAAAATGTGATAAAACACAAAAATACAGAAGTTTGGATAAGCGGGTGCTAAGAATCTAAATATTTCAATAGTTCTGTCCAGTTACTTGAAACAATCCATATATTTACTCAAACTTATTTCTCTTGAAACAGACCCCAAAGTAAGAAAACATGAATTCTATTACATTGAGCAAAGTAGGCACAAATGAAAAATTTTAGATAAATAAAGTGTTTCAGACTTTAACATCTGAGGTGGGAGCTTATGTAATTTCAAGACCACTAATAATTTCAGACAAGTTCTTTAGTTTACCTCACAATTTTTTAAAATCAGTTTGCCTCTATAAATATTTTCTTATTTCCCATAATTCTTCTTCATATACTTTACATCGAAGCCCACTCATACCATTCACTCTGGCTTTCTTTAGTTTGGTTTTGTTCTTTCCAACTTTGTTAAGCTCTCTTCTGTTCTTCATGTTCTTGTATATAAAGCCCAGCTCAAAGTATCACCTACATCATAAATTTTTCTCATTCTCTCAGTCATAAGTGACCTCTCCCAAATCTGAACTCTTGTAGCAAATAATCTCTGGATCTTTTATGGTGACTATCACTTTTAATTTCTATTGTAGTTACATGCCTGTGGTTACTGGAAGCAAAGCCTATATTTATTCCTTCGTAACTTTCTCAAAAACTTGTCCTAGAGCAATGCTCGAACAATAATGAATAAAAATAATAATCTAGTAATACTTCATTTCCTTGACCAAACAATCAAAACATCTGAATGATTTAGTAGCTATTTCACTTTTTATCCAGCTGTGTGTTTTATATAAATTGTACTCTCTCATCAAGAAAACCACTTGATACAAAAGATTTTTTTAATGTTCTTTGGTAAAGAAACTTTAGGGAGTAAATTTTTTTAACTTTTAGAATCAGAGACAACAACTTGAATCTGTCATACTGTGTAGAAAAATATGACCACTCAATTAGATTTTTTAAAATACCACTTTCCCAAAAAACTGATTTGATTGAAGGAAAGTTTCCTGAACTTCAAACAAATTCTGAATATTATATGTATATAATATGTATATACATAAAGTATATAAAAGAAGGGACCCCCCAAAATGTGGAATTTATTTATTTAAAAATGTGTGATTATTCTTACATGTTTAAACCTCAGTCACCTTCAAAGTACTGTCTGTTTGATGCAATACACCTATCAAGACACTTTTTCCATTGCTCAAAACAACTTTTGAATTTGTCAATTTTGATGCCTTTCAGTGCTTCTGCTATTTTTTGTTTTACCTCTTCCACACCTTCAAAATGTTTCACTTTGAGAACTTTTTTCATCGGGAGGAGAAAAAGCCACTTGGGGCGAGATCATGTGAGTAGGGAGTGTGGGGCATGGGCATGCTGTTTTTGGTTAAAAACTGCTGAACACTCAGTGTGATGTGGGCAGGTGCGCTCATAGGTCATCCGTCATGAAATGGGCAAATGTGTTAAAAGAATCTCAAAAAAAAAAAAAAAAATTCACTGGAGCCCAATGCAGCCTCTCACCTGGTACACTGGTGCCTATGGGTTCCTAGAACACTTATCTAGCTAGGGAAGCCTGAACTACAAGGGTCCCTCTCTCCAAAACATTATTCCTGTTCTATTGGGTCCTCCTCTTGTACATATACGTATACATTTTACAAGTTGGAGTGACAAAATAAAGTAATATATAGTAACATTCCATGGGAGCCATCACTATTACAAACCCTAAAACTTAAGTTGGTCCCACATCCTGGAATATAGACAGTGGGAGAACTCTGGGTTATATTTAAGTGATCTATCTCTTTCTATGTTATTGAAGGAAATACTTTTTTAAAACATTAAAACTAAATATGATATTTCATAATTTTATAATTTCTAAATGGACAATTTAGAAATAGTCTAACTCTGCCTATTCTTCGATCTCTTAATCAGATATTTGGAAAGCGTGGACCTACTATGCATGTATGTATTATGCAGCTGCATGTTACACATAAAAACCATTTATTTCACAAGAAAATTGAGGCTTTATTAATAATAAAATACATTTTGGAGCCTCTTTTATGAGTTACAT